AAAAAGATTAAATTGCTTAATTTTTAACGAGTTGAGGGTTTTAGGGTGTATTTGTAACTCTTCTGATTGAGGAGCTTGATTGAATTGCTAATAATTAAAGGGCTTATTTGACTTCCTTTTCTAGATAAAAGGAATGGATCATTCGATTGAATTAAGAAAAACTTGTATTTATCTAACCGTTTCACTCATTATCATAAGGATGATGTTTTCCTTTAATTTAGCGGAATTGGATTTTTGGCATGATCTAACACTCAATTAATAATCCAAGTTAATAAACCACAAATATGGACCATTGAATTATACTTTAGTCAAGAATTCTATCACATATATATATACACTCTGTAATTAAGAGGTGAATATAGGTTCTGGATGCACTTGAGAAGATAAAAGCAGAAGAGGACTCGAGTTTGAGTTATAGGAGGTCTTGCAGAGAGGGGATATGTGGGTCCTGTGCCATGAACATTGACGGCGTCAACACCGTCGCGTGTCTCAAGCCAATTGACACTAACACCGCCACTTCCACCGTCATTACTCCCCTCCCTCACATGTACGTCATCAAAGACTTGGTCGTCGACCTTACTACCTTCTACCACCAATATAAGTAAGTCATAATTAAGTCGTACTACACTCCCTACCAATTTATAAATATTGATTTCAATTTCACATGTACTTGTGCACTTCTTTTTCAAAATTTTGAGAAAGATATTCACAAAGTTGTTGCATCAAACAATACTACATTATTAATTATTATACTATCCTATTCAAATAAAAGGGTAATTGTGAAATAATTTTGAGGACTCGATCGATTTTTTGTGGAAGCATGCATGAAAGTATGTTTGTAAATTCTAATCATATGTAGAACTTCCAATGTGTAAATTAAACAGCCACTTTCTTGGTTAATGGTAGCAATATTTGGCCAATGATTTTGTGGTTCACATATGTCAAATGATGGATTATCCACTAGTTTAATACGGAGTACATAACTCAATATTATTAATACTTAAAATACACGTGATGCATTTTTGCCATACGTGCGATCATATGGAGCCGTATATGAGGATGTTTTTAAATTTGTTGGTCTGGTATGTTCAAGTCCAGTTTGGTATGATGATAAATGATAAATGTCTCTGTGTATTTATACCTATGCGAGTGAGTCTGATCTGATCTGGTTTGTTTAAGTCTAGTTTAGGATTGAAAATAGTAAAAACATCCCGACTCCACTAAAATAGTGGTGGCTTCACCAAAGTTATATACGTAGTATTTTGGGAAAACTGTCAAATAGGTCCTCGAACTTTCATAAAAAGGTCAATTAAGTCCTTCTATAGGAGGTTTTGTCCGGCCGTCGCGATTTGGGGCAGTTCCTGGTGGAATTTGTTAGATGAAATTTTTTGAGCATTTTATTCACCAAGTCTAGTTTATTCATACCAAATCTCAGCTAAAAATTCAATCGGGAACACATTCAAATTAATTTTTGAAGATAACTGCGCATTTTTGCGTTCTCGAATTAATTTGAATGCGCTCCCAATTAAATTCTTAGCCGAAATTTGGTATGAGTAAACTAGACTTGATGAATAAGATCTCAAAAAAATTCATCAAAAAATTCCATCGGGAACCACTCCAAATCGCGACGACCGGACAGAGTCTCCTATAGAAGGACTTAATTGACTTTTTTATGAAAGTTCGAGAACCTATTTGACAGTTTTCCTCACTATTTTTATAGTGAGATTATCAATTATTAATAAATTCATTAAAATGTGAGCATCGATCATGATTCATGAAGTGATCCCCATCCCCGGCTTCATATTGAAATCATATAAGGCTTCATAATTTTTTTGTCAAATCTCATTGCCCAATGCCCGCAGGTCGATAGAGCCGTGGCTGAAGACGAGAAGGCCCCCGCGCAACGGCAAGGAGTACAAACAGACACCGGAGGAGAGGAAAAGACTGGACGGGCTATATGAGTGCATCTTATGTGCTTGTTGCTCCACATCCTGCCCTTCCTACTGGTGGAACCCTGAGCAGTTTCTCGGGCCCGCCGCGCTGCTTCACGCTTTCCGTTGGATATCGGACAGCCGGGATGACTTTGGAGATGAGAGGTTGCAGGCGCTTACTGAGGACCAGAAAAGATTGTACAGGTGCAGGACTATAAAAAACTGCATGGCCTGTTGCCCCAAGAGCCTCAATCCTGCAAATGCTATACATAAGATGAAAGCCGCACATCTCACTCTATACCACGAACAGGCGAGCAGCTAGGAGCCGAACGTCCATGAAGCTGATCAAAGTTAGAGTGAAGGAGGGACTGATCAAAGCTGAATTGCCCCGTAAAAATTCTCCGGAAGTCTATAAAAAAAAAATGACTACATTAATTTTCTCGTGTGAACTATAAAAAAATGCACTCAAGGAGGAAATGTTACTGTTGAAATATACGTAGTATACTATATTAATGGATTATGGATCAACAATACTGTTAATTCTTGTTTTTTTTCAAACAACTGTTTGTGCATATGTAGGGTATTTATTTGCTGGGAGTTTTACTGATTGATTTTATAAAACAGACCACGCAAAACCAACTAAAATAGGTAACCGTGTGACGACAAGTCTCCTGTCTACCGTCCGCCCAAGGACCTGACTCTGAATTAATAAACTCCATAAAAGCCATATAATTCACTGATCCCACTTTTGAATTAATCAACTCCGTAAAAGCCATATAATTCACTGATCCCACTTTGGGCTGAGCCTATGACTTGTAGACACGACACATCAGCTCCTATGTTAGTTTCATAAGTATCTTTGCTGGAAAAACACAGCGCAACCAAAACAAAGCAACAATAGTAAATAAGTCTTTCGGCTAAAAATGCCGTAACCAGCATCAGATCTTCTGACGGGGCTGGGGGCTAGCACCCCCTCCCCGTTTTTGGAGAGTCCAGTGTCATAGCATTCTTTTTAGCATCCTCCCTCGTCTGTCCTCTCACGTGCGCCTTCTCTTCAACTCTCCTATCATTCTTTCCTCGTCTAGCTCACCTGATAACACAACCTTCCCCCCACCCGTCTTAGTATTCTCCCCCGTCTCATCCGAAACCACCTCCTGTTCTGGCCTCATCATACGTGTCATATGCGACTCCCCGCCAGAAGAGCTTCCTTCTGTTATCAGTCATTTGCTGTCCAAGTTTGACTTCGCCTTCCTTCCACTTGCTCTAAGCCACGACCCAAAAGGTCTGGTCATAGCTTGACCCTCCTAGCTTTTCATACAGTAGGGGACAGAATTTCTCTGCATGTCCAATCATACCACAGCAGAAACAGAAACTTGACAACTTTTCATACCTAAAATCTACCCAATACCCTTCACCTTTGTTCTTCCTTAAAGTGGTTCCAATTTTTAAAGCCTTAGTAGTATTCATTCGAACTCTCACTCGCATGTAAGCCTCCTTTTTGTCGCTAGCTTTTTGTTCATCCCAACCGACAAACTCCCCCAAATAATTCCCTATTCTCCTTGCCGTACCCAAATTTTCAAAACTATATGGCACGTTATGAACCTGAACCCAAATTTCAAATTTTTCTAGCACTATCTTAACTGGATCACCCGATTTAAGAGCTTTTAGCACAATCAGACTTTGATCATACAGCCATGGTCCATTATCCAGGACCCGATTTATATCAATAGAGTGAAAAAACTTAAAGAGATACCTCCGTTCGCCGATCGATCTCTTGTATGGTCATTCCTTTGCCCGGGTGCCATAGATCCGCCATGAAGCCCCGGAAGAACGGAAAATGGATAACTTTATCCGCGAGAATCGTCTCAACCACTGAAAAATCCTTTGCCTTCACTGCCCCTACTGCCGAGTCCTCTTCCTCATCATCTTCAATAAGCAGTTCGTCCTCGATACCCCCAATTCCCAGGCCTTTGTATTTAGCAACAATCTCATCAACTCTTTCAGCCTTCTGGTCGCGACCCTCCCTGCCCGCCTCTTCATCGATGCCCTCCATCACGTCTCGAGCACTCTGCTCCGAATCTCGAACGACCTTCGTCGCGATTGCTTTGCCCTCGATCGGCGCCACACGCAGAACGGCGAAAAAAGCCCTTCAGCTCTCGCTAGGGTAGAAACCTTTCAGTTGTTATGTTTTACTGATTTGGATACCATAGCATGATTATTGTATAGTAAAATTTCCATAAAACAATCTATTTTTAGAAATGTTTCTAAGAGCATTAACATTAATTTTTTTTAATTGCAAAAATCCACTTTTCACATTTGCTGACATACAAATTTGACCACTAATATCTTTGATTCCTTATTAGTAAAAATTGAAAAAATTTAACTTTTGAAAATTTAAAATGAGAGGAACTTAACAATAATTTTTTAAATTTAATTTATAATACATTTATAAATAAAATACAATCAAAACAAAACATGTGAATAAGGAATGTATCCCTAAAAAGGGTGTTTGGAACTGATTCTGCTTCTGTTTCTTTTTTAGAGCAGGAGCGGAATCAGAATAAGTTTTAAGAAAAGGGTCTCCCCCAGCTTCTAAGAGAACCGCTTTTATGAGTAAATTAGAGCACTTCAACTTCTACTTCTGTTCCCTTAAGGAGCATAAACAATTTTAAGAATCAGATCCAAACACCCCCTAAATTTGTATCAGATAATATTTAAATGATACCTTAACTATTATTTTGTAGTATTGTTGAATTTTGATTCATTAACTCTTAACGGAAACAAATCAGTATCATACACGTAAATGTTTTAAACGACAATTTATTCAAAATTCTCACTAAAAAAACATGTTGTAACCAAAATCGGATGCGTAGAATCATCTTTGGCTCTTTATAAAGGTGGTGTTGGATCTGATTCTGTTGCCTCTAATTTACTCCTAGAATCAATTTTTTAGAAGATGGGTGATCAATTTCTGAAAACTGATTCTGATTCTGCATCTACTTTAAAAAAGAAAGAATCAATTCCGAACCCCCAAAGTTTTAGTTCTTGTAGACTTTTTTGACTCTTATGGCTGTGTGAGAGCCCATTTGTAATTGTTGTACTCCGTAATTTTTTGTTACAAACGTTTTGCATAAACTTTTTTCAATAATACTCCCGCGGGTAGTTGAACGTTGGACCTTTGGTGCGCACTACCACCGGACCGCCGCCTGAATGCCAGCAGTACTCTGCACTAAACCCATAAGCCATAACCCTAACCTGAAATCCAGCAAGAAGACCAACGATTTCTTACGAAAGAGGATCTAGAATGGGTTAATCTTGTACACTGATAATGTCTGTCAATCTAAAACATAACAATAAAATGAAATGTGATTTTGAAACATTGATGTTGCAGGAGAAGAGGAAAATGCGGTCGCAAGGGGGAAGTTGATGGAAGGGATAGCGTCTATAGCACTCTTACCAAGTGGCTCCATCTCTGGACACTTCATTCAGCTTCCAGAGTCTGTCTGCTATGGCCTTCATGGCACTGGTAAATCACTCTTCAAAAGTTCAAAATATCTGCTTCTGTGTAATACACTCAATCACTCACATTTCACCCTCCGAGTCCAGCCAATCTAGAGCCTCGCTATATATTCAATTTACAGTCTGAACACAAATGTTCTTAGCTCTCAAATGCATTTTACCATTGATATTCTCAGAAGTACTTAAGAAAAGTGGTAATCCAGAGTGATTGGGGTATTTGTGTTAATGCAACCTCAACTTCAATACTCAATACTCAATACTCAAAATTTTTGGCACATGTGTTAATGCTGGTGCTCTAGATTATTATTTCATGCATGACTTGTTTGGAGCATACATTTATTCTTCTTATACATGTAAGCAATGTATATCTTATCTAAACTCTTATTTAGCTTTTATGTAGAAAATTGTAGTTAATGTGGTTTGCCATTCTTGAGTTGCTTAGAACTGAACCTGTGTTCCGATTAATCCCATCTGTATTGGGATTTGGATAAAATGTGTCTCTTTTGCTATGTGTAAAGAGTTGGCATGTGAAAGGGAATGCAGCAGAGGAGAAGATTATCGCTTGATCAAACTTACAGTTACAGACTTCAAAGTAAGTGATATGTGGGACTAGCTGCAACTTTTATTGCTCTTCTACCCCTCTCCCTCTCTTAACTCTAACCACACATAAGGTGAGGACAGATTACTTTCATATGACCAATACTCTCTTTACACTTTATATTTGATGAATTTGGACTTTTGCAGACTATGAGAGAATGGGATGTTATAGTGGAATGCAAAGGACATGACGCTGCTAGGCTGAATAATATTGACCATGCTCACGGGTGAGTTGCTCTGATTTTACAAGACAGACCAACCTCAGCAGCTTCAAGATGCTTCCTTTTAAATCTTTCTTCACTGTTTTGATTATTTGTCAACAGGTGGGAGAATGATGTTATGAATTTACTTGAAGAGAAACATCGAAAGGGAAATATTTTGGTTTCTTTTGAGTGTGAGACACTAAAAGCTGAAAAAGAAGCAGAGGACCATATCAGTAAGTGCATGCCCAAGTTAGTAGGGATGGAGGCTGTTGGTGAGTTTTCTTTACACTCTTGTTTTAGGAGCTTATAACAATAACACGAAGCTCACGTTTCATTATCAAATGTAATAATCGTCATCAACTTAATCTCCTCTAGTTGGAGTGGCTGGCATAAATTCTAGTGTCAATTTAAAATCTATTGACACTAAAATTTCTTGCAAAATTGGAGCTACTGCAAGTTTGTTGGGCAGCTGGTGCTCAAAGCACTGCCATTTATCGATAATTCAAGGAAGGGTCCCACTACAAGGGTGAAATATAGGCAACCCTTAGCCTATATGATTTTTCAAGAGACTGCTTTACTAACCTTGTGAGCTCAAGATCAAATGGCAATACCTCTACCAGTGGGCCAAGCTTTGAGTTTAATAAATTGAGCTAATTGAAAAAATGTTTTTTTTTAAGTTGTTTGAATCATATATCTATTCATGTTAGCCGACCCCAAATTCTTTTGAAACTAAGGCTTGGATGTTGTTATTGTTTGAAGCCATTTATCTTATTGTAGCTGCTGGACCTTAGTGTTGAGGAAGCAAAACCCTTTACGGCATTACTTACTGTTATTGTCATAAATATTCACTCTGGATCTTCTGTTTTATAGCAAAAAGTAGAAAACTGATTTTACTTTTGGGACTAAGGTTTGTTGTTGTTGTTGTCGTTATTAGTCTCAACTCTTAAAACGGGGAAATGAGATCTGTTTAATGCTTATATCTCATCCATCGGTAATTCGACATCATCTTCTCGATATACTTTTCTAATTGCTATCTTTCACATGAAAGTGGGTAAATCTTCTCTGTGCACAGCAATATTATGTTCAAATTTGCTAGTTTCTTTTTTTGACATTTCACAATTGAATACATTTCATTTTTGTCATGATGAGTGCACATGTGGGTATATGACAGTCTCTTCAATTAGGGAGCCTACATAGGCACTTCATTAGTATCTGTTTTTTAAATGTAAATATCTGTTTTAAAAGATGATTTTAGAATAGTATAATGCTAGACACCGGCTTTGCATTTTCTTGGATTCTATTCTAATGAACATCTGTAAGCTTATTGATCACTTGGTTATGAAGAAATAAATCCCCTTGTGCAGTTAACATTGGCAAGATGACTATCTCTGGCTTAGAGTTTGAAGATGAAACTGACTAAAAACATGTACAGTGAAATGATGGGTTTGTACTTTGTAGGTACTTTTCAATCTGAGAGACTTGCTTTGGTTGGTATGTTATCACCATTGTATATATGCTGTAACGGATAATTTCATTTCAAATCAAATACTCCCTCTATTCCACAAATCAGCTTTGCTTTTAGAGTTGCAGATTCAACTTAATGTATGCCTTTTATTTTATCTGGAAATTCTCAACGGTAACCTTCAATTTGAAGTTTTCTAATTGGTAGACATTTTTTATTTTTATTTTTCACATGGTAGGTTCAAATTATAAAATGCTTACTGACATGACCAGAGAAAGGGCGGACCGTAATGCCATACCTTTTATTACCGCCTCTGGCCATCTCTCTTAAAAAAACTGAACTTTTTATTTGAGGTTTAAGTCTGTCTATAAACCTCTTTGAAGAGCTGTCTACCGTTTTTTTATCAGACCATTCATCTTCTCAAAGGTGTCTCGCAGAAAAGCTCCTGTTGCCAACCGACCATCCTTTATTTTGTCATAATTGCCAAACATGAGGTTTGAAGGACTTTCAAGAGGAAATTACCAAAATGCGGGACTTTTTGGTCTGACACGCCAAAATACGGGAACTGCAATTAGGTTACCAAAATACGGGAGTCGGAATTGGGTGTTCCGACTAGGAGCTAGGCTTAAATTTTCGTTGAACACACCTCCTGTCGGAATTGGCAAATCCGACTAGGGGAACCTATTTTTTTCTTTTTTTAAGAAATTATACATCCCACAATGAATTAAAACCATAAAACACATAATTCCATCTTACTCCTGTCGGAATTCCTAAATCCGACAATCAGAACACCTAGCTATGTTTTTTTTAGAAATCATACTTCCCACAATGAATTAAAATCTAAAAAATACATGCACCAATTAGAGTAAAAGCCAAAAATCCAAGTCCAGGTATATACGTGTTCAATTTCTTTAGATAAATTTCTTCACATAAATTTAATCAGATAAGTTTGTTCAGATAAATTTAATCAGATAAATGTAATCAGATAAATTTAATCAAATAAATTTTATACAGATAAATCTAATCAGATAATTTTAATCAGATAAGTTTCTTCATATAAATTTAATCAGATAAATTTTAATCAGATAAATGTAATCAGATAAATTTCTTCAAAACTAAATTTTAAAAAACTTTTAAAATCATAAACTTTTACGGAGTACAATTTAGAAATAACCTTGACTCACCAATAATGATTGCGCCACAAATAAAAAAATAGAAAAACCTCTAGTCGGATGTGGCATATCCGACAGGAGAGGTGAACATTTTATTTGCAACCCCTATTTCTGGTCGGATCACCAAATTCCGACTCTCGCTTTTTTCGAAAACCTAGTTTTTTTTCCGTATTTTGGCAAGAGATGTGCACAATTACCGTGTTTTGGTAAAACACCCGGACTTTCAAGGATTTATGGATTCCCTAGATTTGACGCAGTTCTACAACAAACCTGTGTTTTATTGAATTTTAATAAAACTATGAATGTCTTTATATATCAAATTAGGGTTGGGTCCGAAAAACCGAAAATCGAAAACGGAATCAAATTAAACTGAACCGCGACCAAATAAAACCGAACCGCTAAAAAACCGAAACCGAATGTAAAAAACCGAACTGAACCGTAGTAGTTTGATTCCGTTTTGGTTTTTACCCTTCAAAACCGAACTGAACCGAACAAATCGAACTAAAATAAAATATGAGATTTTATTTCTTAAATGTAAGGATTAATCTTAATATCATCAATAATCTTTGGATTTCTTGTGCAGGAGACATAATGTTTGTGCTATGTTTAGTTTATAAATGCATTTACACATTCATTGCCCATAATAATGTAGCTATATTGATCTATAATGTCTTCTATGTATATATGTATATTGCAATTTATTGCATGATTATATGTTTCTACTGGTTATTAGTAGTACTAAACTTTTATTTTTATGTAACATAGTTTTTTTGTAACTTACATTTTTTATATTGATAAAACAAATAAATATTCATCTGAGCTATATATCACATAGGACGTATGCTTCATAAACTTTTTTCAAACTAGTCACAAATAATGTAAATTAAGAATATATATACACTTTTATCTCTTCCGCATACTCATATAATTCGACACATATTTGTTTATTATTATTTTCTTTATTTGTTCAAGTATGCTTGCATTTTTATGTAATATGTTTGATCCCTCCAACTTTTATATCAATTTTAAATCAAATGACAAATTTCTAGTAAAAACCCGAAAAAACCGAAACCGAATCGAAACGAACCGAACCGATCAAACCGTGGTTCCAAGTTTTGGAGTGTAAAACCGAACCGAAACCGAACCGAATTTTTACTTTGGTTCCGTATTTGGTTTTAGGTCAAAACCGAACCGAAAGAACCGAACTCACCCCTATATCAAATCGAATATGAAGAGTCCGAGACTCTTCATAACTACATTGTTGGAAATATATCAAATCTCAAAATACTGAGGAAATAGAACAAGTCTCAAAATACCGGCTTTTACTCCTGATTTAGAGAAACAAGGGAAAATTTAACTTTCATCAAATTAAATATAGTAAAATTTGCTGAGCTATTTACAAATCAAAAGAAAGTTAAGAAGTTCGTACATAGGATTGACCCATATCACTTTGGAGATGTACGCTAATAAGCTCAAGGGAGTCAAGGGGTGTATAAACAATGCACCACCCTTCTTAATTCGGGCCCTTATCACTGTTTGGATCTGATTCTTAAAAATGTTTCTGCTCCTTCAAAGAGTAGAAACAGAAGTTGGAGTGTTTGAATGGAATTGCAGAAGTGTTTCTATTGCTTTAATTTACTCATATAATCATTTTTTCTAAAAGTTGGGGGGAGACAAGCTTCTCAAAACTGATTCTAATTCTGTTTCTGTTTTAAAAAAGAAGCTAAAGTAGTTCCAAACCCCTCTATTTGGTATTTTCATTTTTGGTATTTTCATTATAAGATTTTTTAGTGGTCTGCATCGAAATACAATGTCATTAAAGTCTTACTCTTTTCATTAATTGTGCCTTCTCCATTATCATTTTCAATATAACTTTTTATTCAAACAAGGAATACAGATGTACTCCCTATATCAGTGAGAATATATATATACTGAAAGGTGTGAATGGTTAATACTCCGTATTTGTTATCAAGACATATAAAATTGTCACCTTTGTCACAAGCAACTTATATATGGACAAACAACTTGAATTGCGGGGACAAACAAGTATACACAAAAAGTGTACAGCTTTTGTGTACAAATAACTCCACTCAATTCATAATCTTATAATTCAACACCAACCTTCACTAGTGTAGATAGGCTTATTCAATTCCGTATTGACATCATGCTAAAAAAACATAGAAGAAAATACTTGGGCAATACTATATATAGTAATTACCCAAATAGGATCAAGTTACTCTTATTATGAAAAAATTAACATTCCATTTTTGTCCCTAAACCTATTTACCTTCTCTTCCCTTCTCACTGTGCATATCGATCCATGCATACTTCATCGCACAGCTCCTCTCCTCCACATCTGCTCTTCTCCCTTGCGGATCTATGAACTTCACTGCACGTCGCAGCTGATTCCATATGTAAATTTAGTATAATTACTTATTATTCATTGAATTTTTAATTGTAAAAATGCATTCAACGCTCAAAACTTAACTTTCAAACCTGCCACTAACTCCACAAACAGATTTAATCATTTAGTCTATCATTTAATGAAGGAAGTTGGTTGGCAAAATTACAAGCCCATTACCCGCGTGATGTAGACATTGTAGACATCGTGATTGTTGTTAAGTAACGAGGTCCGATCAAGATCTACACAAATTAATAAATTATACTACCTCCGTCCCATTTATATTGGGACGGAAGAAGGTGACACGGTTATTAAGAAAAGTGGTTTTGTATGGTTGATATTAATTGATAAAGTAAGAATAAAGTAAGAATGATTTAGAGACATACAAACTTTGCCAAATATAGTATGAGACAATTTAAGCGGGACTTCCCGAAAAGGTATTGTTGGGTAAATGGCCCAAGCCGAGGTCCGGCCCACTAACCCATATTGCCAGACGCACGTCCAGTTCGAACTTCAGGACAGCCCACGGGCCCATGTCCCTTAAGGATGGACGAACGTCTGGTGTTGGGGGGTTCAGGCCCAGCAGTTCATCCCGACGAACGTCTATGCAGGGATAAGGAGCAGAACCACGGGCCACCAGGGATGGCGACGAACGTCTCCAGAGCAAGCCTGTAGTCATCGGAGAAAACCCAGTCCACATGGTGAGTATCTATTAAGGCCAGGAGACGAACAGCCAATATCTTTCGAGGGTCACTTGGAGCGATCCAACTCACTTCCCGGGTGGACGAACGTCCCCACTGATCCGGCGGGAAACCTAGATTCTGGCGGGAAGTGCATTTAATGCTGAAGATTTGGTGGTTGGGACACAAGCGGTCCACAGGCTTCCACGTCAGCATAGCTATCTGCCCATTGGCGGGTATAAATAGAAGCATTTATTTCATTGTAAAGGGTTGGCAACTCTCTATTCTTAGCATACTAGCTTCAGTATTCTTACTCGCAGCATTTCTAACTGCCTTGTAAGACGAACGGCCGACGTGCCTTTTTTAGCAAGTAGATTGTACTTAGGGGAGTTATTACGAAGTTAATAATACCTATTTACATTGCCTGCTACCTCTTGTGTTTCCTGATCCATCTGATAGTTGTTGGGCTAGATATTCATACACTCACTCCACTCGAAATCTTTGGGCTTACGTGTTGGGTCCAAGGGTTGAAGGAATAAACCTCAACACTGGCGCCGTCTGTGGGAAACTGAGCAAAAAGTTTCCAGAAACTCTCCCAAACAGCTACTAAGTCTACCTACAGCAAACACGATGTCAGGAAGCAACAACCAGCGTGATCTCTCCGAGCGTCTGGAGTCGAGCCGCCGGAACCGCGGCCAGAACTCGGAACTATCCGCAACAATATGGACCTCCGGAGGAAACGGGGGTATCACTGACCTCATTCCTTTGGAGGCCAGGCAGGATCCCCACCTCATGCGGGAACTCGCAGATACCATGCGTCGCTTGGCAGACGAGCGGGAGGCCCGAGATCAGGTGTACTCTGCAAGCACCCGGCGAACGCCCCTCTCTCCCATACGCCGCATACAGTCGTATGATGAG